AAAAAAAAAAGGATTTCTTTATTTATTTATACAGAACTGCGATGCAGGCCAGAGGTGCAGAGGCAGAGAGAGGATTCACCAGAGTGGGGAGCAGAACAGGCAGACTGACCAAGTACATTCACTACTGAGGGGAGCAGTGGGTGAGACAGGAGAGGTCTGCTGGGCCAGGTGGGTCAGCTACAGGGCACAATCGAACTTGCACCAAAGTAGCTGTGGCCAGATTCCCAGTGCTGCCCTTTAACTCACTGCGCCACTGGGGAGGACCCCCACATCCACAGTTTTTAATTGAAATATAACTGATAACTTTAGTTTCAGGGATACAACAAAGATTCCATGTATGATAATACTGCAAAATGAATGCCAGAATAAGTGGAGTCAGCATCCATCAACAAGCTACCAGTTTTCTCCTGCCTATGAGATCTACTCTTGGCAATTTTCAAATCTAACGTGATATTACTAACTACAACCATCATGCTCTGCATCATATCCCCACGATTTTAATTATTTTATAACTGGCAGCTTGAACCTTTTGACGCCCTTCACTCACCTGGTATCTGCATTTTTAAGGAACTTGATAAAAATTAGGGAAGAAATCAAAAGGTCCAAACTTCCTTAAAGGAATGAGAAAAAAAAAACTGAAAAGCATAATAATTAGATTAGTTTGTAAGTCGTTCTCAACCCTACTGATTATTTTGTCTAGAAGTAAGTGAAAGTAACTTAGAAAATGTTTACATGCTGAAATGTTTTTAAGCCAAAGTTTGGCACATTAGGCTCTGAAAGAACCTCACCAGGGAAAATGAGCTCAAGGCAGGACATATTTAGCAATTCCCATTACACCTGAACAGCAGTAGGCTAAAACACCACCACCAGAGAACCAGGACCTTCACACCAGACACCAAGACCTCAAGAGCCACCTTGGAAGTGGACGCAGGCTACCAAACTAGAGGACTTTCAGAAATCCTTTCCACCTGTAAGATTCAGTTTCTTCCCTCACTTCCAGCCCCCACCCCCCCACCCCCATCCTGGGGAAAGAAGAGAAGCAATAGTCATTTGCTGTCCCCACCTCCCAGTTTTTCAGGCCCACATCACTCAACCATGCACAGCTGGTTCACAGAAGGAAAACCCTAGAAGGACTTCAAACCCAAGTTTCACAGTAGCTGGTTCTTGCTGAAATTTTCCCCTCCACTATTAGAGACTTCCTGCGGAACAGGGGATGCTTCCATCACCCAGTGGGACAGTCAGTCCTGCCCTCTCATTCCGGCCAGGGCATCATTGCCCCAGCGCGTCCTGTGCCGTCAATTAACAGCTGAGCATTATAAACTCTCTGATGTAAGTATACAAAACTTAAAAATGATGACCATGAAAAAAAGAGGCCAAAACAAAATAAAGGAAAACTTTTTTTTTAAGATTTATTTATTTATGCATACAAGAGCTGGAGCACAGGCCTAAGGTACAAGGGGAGGAGGGTGAGAGGATTCACAGAGACAGAGTGGGAAGTGGAACAGGCAGATCCACTGAAATACACTGCTGAAAAGAGCAGCGAGTGGGTCAGGAGAGGTCTGACACGCCATGTGCCTGATGGGGGATGGAACTCATGCTGTGCTTCAACCCCTGAGTCACCAGGGAAGGCCCAATAAAGAAAAACTTTAAATGTGACATTTCTTTTAAACTTGATCAGTTTTAAAGGTTTTATTTTACCAAAAATTACATTTCATGTGTCACAGGTATTTTCACCACATATTTGTTTATTATCACTAAAAGGAAACTGGAACCGTCCTGCCCTGCACTGGCCACTCCCATTACCCACAAAGTGAAAGATGACACTTGCACTGCATTAGTAGCTGCAAAGGAAATTACTTATTGTCGTAAGTCTCTGCATAATACCCCAAACACACTGTGGTAGGCATAACAGACCCCCCCCAAAGACAGCCACATATTTTTCTATAGAACCTGTGATTTTGTTACCTTACATGACAAAAGGAATTTTGCATGTGTAATTAAGGACTTCCAGAAGGGGAAATTGTTCTGAATTATCCAGGTAGGCCTCATAACCATGTGTGTCCTTGTAAGTGGAGAACCTTCCACAGATGTGGTCAGAAATTGCACAGAAGGGTCAGAGAGACTTAATGCTGCTGGCTTTAAAGATGGAGGAAGAGGCCTGAGGCACCAAATATGGTAGTGTCCAGAAGCCGAGCTAATCAAGGAAACAGTCTCCTTTGAACCTCCAGACCAGAACACCTTGGTATTAGCGTGGTGAGACCCAGTTTGGACTTCCAGGTTACAGAACTATACAATAATAAATTTCTGTTGTTTCAAACTACTAAATTTGTAGTAAGTTGTTACAGTAGTCACAGAAAACTAATCCACACACATTAAGCAATGCCTAATAATATGAGAAAACATCTAGAAAAGCATAAACAAATTGTCCCCAAATTTAGATGATTAAGAAATAAAAGTTATTTGTGCATGTTGCAGTATATTTCACATCTATTTTTCTCCTCCTCACAAAATCCCTTAAATTAACAAGTCAACCAAAGTTACAACTCTTCAAACTTTTTGTAGAAGGTTGAACTATATTAATTAAGAAAATGAAAAATTCAGGAAAGTAGTGTATCTACATTTTTAAGTCAAACATCAGTGTGTGCATCGCTTATACTCTTGAATTGTCATCACATGCTAAAAAATAAGTTAATGGGCTTTTTTCTAAATACTTAATACTAATGATCCTAATACTTCTAAATACTAATGATATTAATTTTTTTGGTGTGATAATGGTTTGGAGCATACATTTTAAAAAGAATGATTTAACTGTCTATAGATACATATTGAAATGTTTATCAATGAAATACTGATGTCTCTGTGACCTGCTTTTAAAAACTGGGGGTGGGGGATAGGAGTAGACAGCAGTGTAGGTGAAACTAAATTAACCTGAGTTACTAGCTGTTAGGACTAGGTAATGGGTACACGGGGAACTATTATTCACTGTTGGGAATTTTCTATATTTAAAAAGCACACAGAGTCCTTGGCCTATCTATCCTAAGTATACAGCCGTGATATTTTTAAGAACGGAAACTCCTTACTGCCATGCTGCCCCACCTCAATTCTCTGCCACCTAATCCCCATCTCATTTTGCCTTGTTTATTAAGGTTATGAGCTTAAACAATCACCTACCCTCTAAAACACTGGTTCTTCATCTGCAGAATGGGACTATTTGCTCTTGCCCAGCCTACACCTGGCTTCCTCTGTAAGGTCTCTGAGCACAGCAGCTTCTCTTTACACCCCTCTGCCTGCGACTTCCCTTCTCCCCTTCGAGGATCACACTCCATGTGCCCCTCGGAGATCCGGCACACCCCCAGGAGACTGCCATTCCAACACTGCTCTACCCAAGGTCAGCACCTTCAGCCTACAGCTTCACCAGCCCACCACAGTCTGCCGTCCGCAGGTACCAGAGCTACCTTCCTACCTTTTCACCCTTTTGTTAAAACAGTGGTTCGCTGTCAGGGGTGAGGAAGGGGAGAATGAAAAGTGACTACTAGGAGGTTCGGGTTTCCTTTCTGGGTGAGAAAAATGTTCGAGAATTAGACCGTTGCTCAACCCTTGGAATATGCTAAAAACCAGGAGTTGTGCTTTCGTTGTACTTTTCGAAGGGTGATTTTTAAGGTGTGGGAATTACATCCCAATAAAAATTAAAATACGTATGTCAAAAACAAAAACAAAAAAAAAACTACTGCTCACCCTGCCCATCACACGCCGATTTGTCAAACCAACATCGCCCCATTTTCCAAAGCATCGACTTGCTCTCCATGACCCCCGCCCCCAACTCCTACCAGACCCCGACAGGGGTCCCTGTCACGCTCTGGGTTAACACACCCCTCCATTCTGAGTGCCACTGTACCCTGTGGGGCGGGAGGAGAGGGGCATTTCTCCAGGCTCAGGTCCAGCCACAGAGTAGCCCGAGCCTGAGCCTCCGGGACGGGAAGGGACGCTTCTCCCCCGCCCAAGCGCAGCAGTCCCTCAGCGCCCGGCGCTGGCTGGTGGCGGGGAGGGGGGGTGTTCCCTAACCCGCGCCAAGGGGCGGGGGTGCCGCCGGGCTGCCAGGGCCGCGCTGCCAGGGGCGGCGCCACAGCCCACCTGTCTCAGCCGGCAGGGAGGTCCGCTTCCAGCTCACAGATCGACGAGCGGGTGGCAGGCGGCAATCAGGAGAAGCCGCGGCGCCGCCGAAGCCGGGGTGGCGCACGCCGCTCAGGCCTCCATGTTTCCACGTCTCTGAGGCCCCAGCTCCGGCTCCGGCTCCGGCTCCGGCTCCGATTCCGCCTGGGCCGCCTCGGTGCAGACGCCGGGAGGCGGGGAGAGAAGAGGGAAGCGGCGGAGAACGCGGCTAGGACCGAACGGCCAGGCGCGCTCCCGTCGGCGGTCACGTGGTACGCAGCGCGCGCGGACTTGTGGGAAATGTAGTCCGGCGGGAATTCAGCGTTTCGCCGCCGGGAGCGGCTCAGGGCAACCGCCAAGCCACGTGGCGAAATCTTAAATCGCTGAGCCTCTACACCCCGGTGCTTTGGTGCTGGAGTCATTGCTTACCCCACACCAGTTCTTCCTGTGGCTTAACTTTATTAAGATCCCTGTTAATTTTAACCGTATAACCATCCCAAAGTCAATTTCCTTTAGGACTGAAGAATTGGGAAGAAAATCATTTTTGGTGGAGGATGCTAGCAGGATTAAAAGTGCCTGCAATACTGTCAGAAAGGTTAGTTTTCTACAGGAAGGACTATCCATTAGATGCAATGCCAAAAGTACAGAATTTGAAGTCAGTTGAGTTGAAGTTACCAGACTGACTTTCTTGAGTTATTCGCCACTCCCAGGCAATTTCCTCTTCTAAAGATGCACAGGGAGGTGATATTTCCCAGGTGGTGTTGATGTTATCGATAACGATGATAAACAGTCACACTATGGGCTGTTTCCAGTGTCCTATGCATTTTTTTGTAACTCCAAATAATTTGAGTTATTTGAGAGCGATTCCAGCTTTTTCCATGATATAATCAACGTGTGCCGCTGTCCTCTGGAAAGAATTGTACAGATCTTCAATATACTTTTCCATTATCTATTGATACTCAGTTTCCTGAACTTGCAGGGTTACTACAGGAAAACATACTTAAACACAAAGCACCTGGCGTCCTAATTTAAAGAGGTGGGCACCAAGCCCTCCCTGATGGTACAGAGTTAAAACACAGTCACTGAAGCTTGAGTTCCATCCCCCGCTCAGAGAGCTGACCCACATGGCACTGCAGACCTCTGTTGTCTTACCAGCTGCTCCTCCCAGCTGTGTATTTCAGTATATCTGTCTGTTCTGCTCCCCACTCTATCTCTGGTGAATCCCCTCACCACCCCTTTTGTCGCCCCACCTCTGGGCTATACCCACAGTCTGTGATATAAAATGCATAGAATATGACTCAACTTTACTAAATGAGTTGTATTTACAATATCTATGTCTATATGCATGGGAATATCTAAAAGAATACTAACAGTCATTAATTTTCAGGAATTGTGCAAGGTTAAAACTAGTTTTCCCCTATGCATTTTCTAATTTTTCTAAAATGAGAATGAATTACATGTAAAATTTTATTTTAAAATTTTAGCAAAAAGGAGAGTCAGGCACCAAAGTCAAATTCATACATGGTACATTATAATTTTTTCCTGTCCCAAAAATTATAATCACTATCTACCCTAAATAACCTAGCAATAATTGTGGGTATCTCTTTGGAACTGAAGTAGAGTAAGATGCCACTTACTCTACTTCAAAGCAACCCAGTTGTGAACTTTAATATTTCCTTTCTATTATTAGGATAGCTGTCTTAATATAGCTGTCCTAGCTCATTTTGATTAGACTGCTATGAGAAAGAACTGTAATGTGTTTATCTATTTATTTTTAAAGATTTGTTTATTTGTGCATACTAGAATTGGGATGTAGGCCAGAGATATGAGGGGTGAAAGACAGAGTGGGGAGCAGAACAGACAGATCTACTGAAATACACTGCTGAGGGAAGCAGCAGGTGGGTCAGGAGAGGTCTGCCACATCATGTGGGTCATCTCCCTGGCTGCAGTGACTGTGAATAGCTCTGTGGTGCTATGCTAGCTGGTTGCACCACCAGGGAAAGCCCCAGAAATATGTTTGCTTATTTTTTTTTAAAGATTTATTTATTTACACATACAGAACTGGGGTACAGGCCAGAGATGTAGGAGCAGTAAGAAGATTCACCAGAGACAGAGTGGGGAGCAGAACAGGCAGATGGACGAAGTACACTGCTGAGAGGAGCAGCGGGCGAGTCAGGAGAGGTCTGTTGCACCATGTGGTCATCTCTGGGGCCAAGGATGGAACTCAGGGCTGAAGTTGCTGCAGCTCACTTGTAGTGCTGTGTTTTAACCTGCTGCACAACCAGGGAGGGCCAGAAATGTGTTTGTTTAAACAGGAAAGACAAACAGTGAAATATCAAGTCTCATTATGGTGAGAGAATTGTAATTCTGGGTAACTTCTTCATCCTACTCACTATTCTGACGTTCCAGAGAGTTCCTCAGGACTCATTGGTTCAATGAATGTTTACTTAACAAGTCTTTGTTCCCTGTGCATCAGAACTGGCCTCAAGAAGCATAGTATGGTCTTGTGGAAGAGACAGACATTATACAATTAAAAATTGAGCCAAATTGCCATGAAGGACAAGAAAAGCAACAGAGCCTGGTATCCAGCCCCAAGGGAATAACTTTTCCAGAAATAAGCAATGACAATTAGTCACCTAGGACTAACAGAATTTTCATCAACATTTTAATAATAATATGGATGCCTGCAAAACTGAAATTCAAAACAAACAAAACAGAGCTAATCTAAATCATCAAAAGTGCCAGTATGGCCCTTCAGGAATACATGGTTAAAGGCACAAATGATCTTGCCTGTGGACTTATGAAACTTCTACCAGGTTTACCCAGAAAATGAAATATACTGACCATCTTAGAGTAAGCTTACTATTTAATGTTGATTTTCTCTGAAGCACTAACCATAATTCTGTCTCTTCATCTACATACATGAGATTATCCCCATCTGCTGAAGGACTTCCAGTAACATCCTCCCTCATTCAGAATTAAAGCCAATGCTACCATACGCCTCAACGCTCAGATCCATCCCACCCATCTAATCTCACCTCCACTCTGCCTCCTTCATACTCAGGCTGCCTTGGATTGGCTTCTGCAGTCGTTTGAATACACTGATGACACTCCTACCCACAGCCTGGTGTCTGTTATTACTCTGCTCAGACCTTCCTTTACCTTTTTTTAAAAATAGTGAATATTTTATTGCAGGCCAAGAAAGTGACATACATGTAAGCAGGGAAGGCTACTTAAAGAATTTGCTGGGTTCCAGAAAGTTCAATTTACAAGTGATTTAGTAAATGGGACAGAGCAGAGCTGAATCGTTCATTGCTTGGCTTGTTTAGACTCTGCTGAAAAGCATTTAAGGTGACTTACAAGTGTTCATGAGATACACAAATTGCAGCATTTGAACAGGAAGAAATGAGTGGGAGCAGAAAGTGAATGAAGCTGTAAGGTAGCCCAGGTATCCTTCAAACCTTCCCCAGGCTCCCCTATGTTTGCAAAGTCTGGGATGCAGCTCTTCAGATTTCAGTCTTTACCTCCTTTTAGCAACTAAAGAGCCAACAAGGACCTAGGCCTAACAGAAAGCCACTTCACTAGCAGATCAAAACTATCTCCAAAGTATTGTGTTGAGACTATTCCCAAAACTCTACTCAGATTCTCATCTTCCCTGAGAAAGAAGAGACTTGGAGTCAAACCTAGATTTGAATTTTGGTTGCATAATTTATGAGCTGTATGATTCTGAAAGAACTACTTAGTTCAGACTGCTCTAACAGAATATCACTGGCAGGAGTATTTAACAGATATTTATTTCTCGAATCTTTGTAGGTTAGGATGTTTGAGATCAAGGCAGTGACAGATCAGATATCTGGTGAGCGTCCTTTTCTGGTGAGGACCAACTTTTAATTGCATCCTCACATGACAGAGAAACCAAGTTCTAGTCATTACTCTTCTAACAAAGACACTATAGCCATCGTGGGGGGCTTTCCCCTGAGAACCTCATCTAAACCTAATTACTTCTGAGAAGTTCTCCTTCCTAATACTATCCCATTGGAGATATGTGTTTGGGGGAACAGAAACATGCAGTCTATACCAGCTATTTAACCTCTCTAAACCTAGTTTTCTTCTCAGTAAATGGAGATAAGAATAGTCTACTGAGAGTTGCTTTGAGAATTAAACTAAAGGCAGACATGTAGCATGTTTTTTAAAATAATATAGTTCACCTGCATAATCCAGATGTTAATCAATTCATGTGCTGCAGCTGCTAGTCTCTGGGAATTCCTCATCGAAGAGCTAAGATTAACCAGAAATAGATTCCTGATCTAGCTGAGAAGCACAGCCTGGAAACTACATGCCAGATTAAGAAAAAACTCGAGATAAATATGGTAGCTATTCTCAATGAGCACGACCAAACTTATTTTGTATCGTCCCAAGGAACCAAAATAGGACCAAAGGGGTGAGGTGCTAAGATGCAGAAGTCAGCTCCATGAAACTTTATAGCAATGATAACAGTATGAATAATTAACAGTTCACATTATGGGTTATTTTCTATGAACTTTTCACTGTTACCCTGTTTAAATCTCCACACAATCCTATGAGAAAGGGTTATCAGAAACAGTGGGGAGCAGAACAAGCAGATCTACTGAAACATGCTGCTGAGGGGAGCAGTGTGTCAGGAACTAACACAACAGAAGAGATCTGTTGCACCGTGTGGGTTAGCAACCTGGCCAGGGCTCAAATTCATGCCATGGGTGTTGTAGTGCTGAGACTCAACACCTAGGTCATGAGGGAGGTCCTAAAATTCTATGTAATAGCTTAGAAAACAATAGGCTAAGTAAAAGTAAGCTGACTAATAGTGAAATGGTATGTTTGGTAGAAAAATGAGATTCCAATCTCTACATGCATTTGAGCAGAGGATCAAATAAAGTACAGTTGGTAAGGTATATCGGTAATTACCTAATCTCTTCATTTTAAACATAGGGGATGAGCTAGGGTTGCAAAAAGATTCAGACGTGGCTGACAAACCATGCAGATGGCTGCACTGAGCAGGCTCCTGAACCAGCATCTTCTAAGTCTTGACAAGATGCTATGATAAGGAAAGTCCTGCAATGCCAGCTGCCAGCAGTCCCAGTGAGACTGCAGCAGGTGCATCTCCACAGAGCCAGGATTCTTGCCTGGCCGAGTGAGAGGCCACACAGTTCTCCAGCCCTCCTGCCTGCAAGAGCGCACAGCTGGGCTGGGCAGGTAAGCAGTTTG